TAGAAGGCGGCTTTGGTGTTCCATACCATGGGGCCCGGGTCAGCTTTCCTTGTCACAATGCGTGAATTAGATTGCAGTATGCCCAAAGATCTCCAGCGTATTACCCGTACAAGTGGGCAAAGTGGTAGGTAGCAGCCCGGTCCCTTTCTAGGCGGAACTCCTCGGTATATTTAGTCAGTTTCTTCCAATCACTTTCGAAGTAAAAACAGGAAAGGCTTGCTAAAAATGCAACAGCTTTGCACTTGGTAGCCAACCTATCTGCATTTTCGATGGTATAATCGTCAACCTGCAATGGGACAAACAAGCCGCTAAGAAACGGCACTATAAAACACATATCAACACATTTTCACTATTTTCTACCCTGTATCAATGCAGAAGTTGGGTAGTTGTCATATCGGTTCTAATGAAAGTGGTTGCCATATAGAGCTAATATGAAACATCAGGTTTTAATAATTATAGACTAATGCATTTTGCAGAATTTACTAACTTCCGTCAGCCACGTGCGTGCAACATAATTTCAGAAAATGTCCGTGTTAATTGAGGAACGTATTCCTTGCTCTATGGTGTTACATACTTCCTTATATATTCCTTGCTCTATGGTAACACACATTGCAACGGACAGGGAAGAAAAGCAGTCTTAAAGAGGTTGTGGAATGCTCGAAGACATTTCCGTCATTTTTCGGGTATATGTAGCCTAAGGTGTGATGAAATAATAACGACTATTGTGTCTGTCATGAAATGAGTACAAAAGGTACTTTTGAGAGCTGTTTTTTCAGGTCCTGTTTCGACCCGAACGTGCAATTTGTGTAAAAGTCGTCGTTGGGGACAGCAAACAAAACATAGTAAATCGTGACGTAATAAACAGGACTCCCGATGCAGCGTAGTATAAACGAGTCTTCGAGCATTCCACAACCTTGTGCTGAGAGCATTTCCGGTTATACGCTGGAGTTATTCTTTTGCTGAGAACACGAAGTTTCCCCCAAAGCAATTATTGTCTGCTTGGCAATTCTCTGAATTGGAACAAATAAACAATGTGTGAAATCTCGCTCACTTTAAAATGTCTGCTTCACAACTAAGAAGTCTCTGCAGTAAATTAATCCGACTGCATAGCTTCATGGCAACGTTAAACACTTTGCCGGTGGTGTAGGTCCTGGTTCCCGCTGAAAGAGTCTTTTATTTTAAAGCTTCTTATTTAGGCCTGAACCGCCTGAATAATAAATAGTCTAAGTACGCTGCAAAACTGTCTACACAAGCTTATACGTGTATATACACATGTACGTTATACACGTGTGTACATGTATATGCAACAGGCCTTATAACTTTTAATACAGAGACGGAACACTATTTTTCATTTATCTTGTCGACGCCAGGTGCTGCACTGCTAATTACTCCGTCTAACATCAGCGCGAGATGTAAAAAAAGAAAACTGGGTCCGTAACAACGAATTATATCTCGGCATTTCGCTATCAGCAGTGTGCTGTGACAAGATTTCCGGCACTCCGCAGGCATCATGCAATTGCACTGTAAACGAGGATTGGCAAATGGCCCTTTAATTACCTGTTGTCTCTAACGTAACTGAATCAATTACGATAATCATATTACAGAGCTGGCGACGACGTCTATCAAGATAGTGATAAAAGAAATCATCGACATAATAGACGTACAGGCTACATGTTGTTCCAATGTTTTGTTGTAAGAATATGGCACTGATCATCGCAAGACCAAAACAAAATGCATTTTCTCCAACCTCAACTTCAGCATGCTGAACAATGCAACTCTGCCATCAACCGTCTGGCACAAATTCTTCATATGTACTGATATTGATATCAATTCGACTTTACTTCATGACTTCACAGTGCAACCCTTCAAAGCTTTCAATTCAGAAATGTAACGTACGAAGCAATCGTCGAGGATTCGCCGTGTGTAACATCATTGAACGACTGTGCTTGAAATAACTCTTTTATTTCAATCGTTTTGCAGACTTTGCACATTTACAGATTTCCTTTCCGGTCAAACAAGCTTAAATCACTACTTTAAAAACACAATTTTTACATATTTTTTTTCGTTATTAATGACATCAGTGAATGGAATTATCATTGTACAATTACGGGCATATTTCACGTTATTTCAAAACATATCGCCTTAGGGCATATTTTATGCGTAGTGTACCCACCTGTAAAATCAACAAAGCCATGAAACAGTATAAATGCAGTCTTGGAACTTTCCGTTTCTCGCGTTGAAAGTATTCAAACTTCAATTCCTGAATTCAAGTTGCGTTCCCCGTGCTCTTCAACAAATTCAATTTTTTTTTCTAGACATAAATTATCTACTTGTACCTTTTAATTCAACCAAAACCCCCTCCATTTCCCCCTTTTTTGGGGACTTCTGCAAACCTCTGAAAAAGGGTTTTTGTTTTGGGCACAGATCCACTTTGCGAGCACACTGGCTCCCTATCCGTATTTTGGGCGGGACCCAGCCTACCCCGCGAGAATGAAATTATTTTCTAGAAAAATATTAATTTGGAAGAGAAATCTATTTTTCGGGATAAAACTCGAAAATAGCGTAGGAACGAAACTTTAAGTACATGTATTCCAATTTCAACTTTAGAGTAACTAAAATACATTGATCTTAAAGGGAATGTACAACATTTGCTTTTGCTTCAATTTTCAGAAACAAATGGATTTGGAGGATTAGTATGTTGTAGCAAATATTGTTAAAATGACTTGTTTCACGTTTTGGGCTTGTAGATGCTGGAAAAACCAAGAAAATCATTCATTTTCTTGTAGTCTGGTTCCCTGACCCCACTTAAGATGAAACGGAGAATTTATAGACTTTAGGGGAATTGTAAGTTCAGAGAATCAGTCTAGCAGGCTTGTAGCCCTTCACAGGTGTGTAGGCCTAATCAATTGGTGTGTAGGCCCAAGCAAATAGTTTTTGCAGTTTTTGCAGCAAAGAGTTTGCAAGCAGTTTTTAAAAAAAGCCAGTTTTCTCCAACGCTGGTCGGCCGACCAGCGTTGGAAAAATACAATTTTTCTTGAAGATGTTGGCACACCAGGAGCCACGATTTTACAGGATGCTTTTAGACTGTCATTCCCTAACAATCCAGTAAGGTATTTTGTGATAATTTGATCATTTCGTTTTTTGATGTTTGCAAAAGTTGTATCTTCCCTTTAAACCCTTTACTTAAACACGCAATGCCGATCAGTTCTCAATGACAACTCTTGTTAGTCTTGTGAACATTTCAAACAATTGCAATTTCCACAACAATGCTCAGCGAGAACATTCAGAAATGGCCGGGTTTAAAATCAGCATGAACATTTGGTTATAGATGTAACCAGAACACAGAATTAAGCGCACGACAAGAAGAATTAAAACTAAACGTGACCAAGAAGTTTGAAGAAGACAATACCAACAATAAGTATGGACAGATTTGGGTCCGCATTTTAAGCCTTCTGGTGGAACTTGGAAGTACCGGTCGTTTGTAATTGACATAAAAAACCAAACAAATATATATTTTTTGACACCATAATGTAATTTATTGTGAAGCTTAACCCAGTTAATTATTTCACACAGATGAAGGTCAATAACCGTGCCTGTTTTAATTTTAAGACGGACTTCAGGCTAGGCGCAATTCTGCCTATCTGCAGACCTCCGTTCAAAACTGAAAAGTAGGCCTAACCGACATCACAATACTCAATATAACAATAACATTGAAATCAAATTTTGGTTTTGGTTTTGTGTACATTTCCTGTATGTTTAAGCTATGGTTTAAGGCTGCGTCCAAAATTCTTAGCTACGGCCGGCAGATATACGCGCTCATAAAGGAAGTGGATTCGACTGCCGGCCAAAGCCAAGTATTCGCACCATGGAGCAAGGAACAGAGCCGAAGAAAAGTGTTTGACGGTGACCCTCACAAGTACAGTCTGTTGTTGTCAGTAACTGTCATTAATGTTCACAAGCAGTGTAAAGCAGCAAATAACAGCTTCTTTTTTTTACTTCACACAAAAACCAATATCATACATACATTTATCCAAACATACATATTTTTTTAAACTAACAATCAAACAGTATAATTTCCACTTGAATTTTGGAATGTCTGAAGAATGAGCCAGACTTTACATTCCAAGATTTTTTCCTTTAAAAGACTCTTTTGTATTTGAACATAAAACAATACAATTTGTTGTTACTTTAAAATATACTTGTCTAAGAATGAAGTTATCCTAAGACTAAATCTTTCATCAAGGCTTTCACTGTTCAAAAGTTTATAATGGTATAACATTTAATTTATGAAGTAAACTGATGGTCAGAACGCTTCATGAGAGATGAACCATTTGACAGCAAGTTCCATTTTTTAAATAAAATAAAACATCTTTTACAAAAGTTCCGTCAATATCAATCTAGATTTTCCCCCGTCACTTTACACTTTAATATTGCCGTGTAAACGGACAAGAAATATTGAGCAGATGTATTCCACATTGGATGTTGCAATATCTTCTGAATGGTAAACAATACCTGGAAACCGCTTACTCCTTTAAAGGGAATGTACAACATTTTGCTTTTGCTGTAATTTTCAGAAATAAATGGATTCGGAGGATTATTATGATATAGAAAATATTGTTAAACTGACTTGTTTCACGTTTTGGGCTTGTAGACGCTGGAAAAACCAAGAAAACCTATCATGTTCTTATAGTCTGGTTCCCTGACCCCACTTAAAATGAAACAGAGCAATTAATACATTTGGGGAATTGTAGGCTCAGAGAATCAGTCTAGCAGGCTTGTACCCCTTCACAGGTGTGTAATCAATTGCAAAGAAAAGTCAGAATAACTAAATATGAAAACTTAGGACAGTTTTTGAAAAAAACCAATTTTCTCCAACGCTGGTCGGCCGACCAGCGTTGGAAAAATACAGTTCTCCTTGAAAATGTCAGCACACCAGGAGCCACGATTTTAAAGGATGATTTGGACTGTCACAGTCCCTAACAATTCAGTAAGGTATTTCGTGATAAATTGATCATTTCGTTTTTTGATGTTTGCAAATGTTGTATCTTCCCTTTAAGCTTGAGGTGAAAATTGAAAAACGAATACACATAAAACTGATTTTGTTTGAACTCTTGACGGCGTTCTCTCAATGGTTTGTTTTAATAAAATGTTCGTTATCCGACTTGTACTAAAATGTCACACTGGCCTACAGACAACTTCTTCAACATCTGATTTGATTTGAATGTAAATACCCGGTGTGCATCTCAATGTGGTTCAATAAACAAATCTGCATAAAATCATTTTGCAACTAAGGAAACCAAATTAATGTGAATTCCGATTACCCTCCAAACCCAAGGGTCGGAGGATAATCGGACATTCAATTCAAGCAACGAAGGGTGGGAGCAAATTTAGCCCACTATGTCCGTAGGACATTATTGCGGGGCGGACGATTTTGCCCAGTCGAAGTCACGGAACTAAAGTCATAGTATTCTACAAAAGTCTATAACTTAAGGAGCATTTGTTGTTTCATTACAACTGGTAGGCAAAAATTCACAGCCAAAAAACATTGGCAATATAAAGGTTCACTGCTTTCAATATGTGAACTGCATATTTGGGACTTTTTACCAATCAATTAATGATGTTCCAAAATTAAGCCACGCTTTACGCGTGAATTTCAAAACAAAAGAAAGATATGTGTACATGTGTTATCTTTTACACGTTTAACTACAAAATACTCACTATTTTATAGTCCAAGATTTAAGGACAACTTTAGTGCACCAATGAAGTGGGTTGTATTCCAAAATATTGCTAATATAAATCCGTCAGTCATCAAGTGTTTCATTAACTTTTGGATTTTTCTATCAACATGATCATTAATGACCGCTTTAATCGCTAAGTGTGATCCATCGTAACCACAAGAGTACCCATGTACAATGTATACGGGAGCGTTAATAACACGCCGAGAGCGGTTGACCCCGAGACCACTACGCCGTGCAAAACGGCCCGACACACGGCAATTCAGCCGCCAATGTCTCGCTGCTTTCTTCTCGGCGAAAAGCTGTCACCCTCGATAAGAGATATTATCCGTAGTTCAAGGAGCACTAAAATCCTAAGTTTCGGCGGTCATTGCCGAGGGAAAAGTTGAACCAACAAGAGTGGGACCGGGGAATCTTTACAATTTTAATGACTGTTTACATCCAGCCGAATTTGTTTGTGTTATAAATGGACCCAAATATACCTGGGTCCGGGCTGAGCGGGTCTAGGGAATGGTTCGTTGCACACCCAAACACGCGACGATGAGTGACAAAAAACAACGAGCAAGCTCGAGAAAAAAACGTGTACTAAAGTGGCAGGACCCTTTCACATATTAATTAATAGAGCACATCATTTCTATATAATTTTTGAATAGCCACAATTTTATATCATTCTGTTGGGGTGTTAAAAAAATGATCTCATAAGAAAATGCGGCATTGAATGGTCACATTAAAAGTGTACCACTGTCGTGCATAATCCCGTAAGTGGTTTTTCACCATTATATATTCACATCATACTTCATTTTGATTCATCCTTCATTACCGTATCTAATTATTTACACAAATTACTATTCTAACTAGATTATAGCTTAACATGCTTTCTAAACAAAAATATCATAAATTACAACTTTGTTTGAATGATTGTCATCGGTTGAATACAATTACTTAAACTGTTGATGAAGATTAAGAAAACAATATTGCACATACTTGCCAACTTCATTTCGCGTACATTCGGTTGGCGTCACAGTTTCAAGACACAGAAACGTTCGAAGTCCATTAACGAATGTGACAGCGGTGGTATTTGGTCTTTAAATGTTTCACTCCTAGTCCTGCACACTCTTCACGCACACAAGTAGTGTCTGCTAAAAGTTCAGCAATAAAGGTGACTGAGCACTTAATGTTCATTCAGCTGCACAACCGTCATTCTCCTTTGCCTTTATTTGCCCGAGATTGGCCTAGGATGGGTGAGTGCTAGAGGAAAGAGGGCTGTCGGAAAAACCGGTAAGCTGTGAAGACCGTGATACATGTCGTACGGTGAGCTAGGTGAGTGGGGTAAATGCGGCATGCAACAGGCGGGTCCCGTCTCGCTGTTAACGGTAGTGACACACGAGCTCAAACCACCGCACACCAGGCCGTGTCCCGTGGGTGGCGGCGAGGGCAACCCAAGATGAGCACCCGGTCGCAGGGGCATTGAGTACGAAGACGAGTCGTGACGCAAGAGGCGATCCATGGAGAAACTGTGTCCAGCAGGGGCGGGCTTGGGAAGAGTTGTACCTGCAGCGTTGATTAGTGTCTCGCAGTGGTGGGACGATACTGGGACTGGTATGCTCTCCGGGTGATGCATCGGTAGACGTGCTTCGAATCTTAGCTGCGTACCGGCATGATGGGGGTAAGGGAGCATGTGGTTGTGTGGCCAATACATTGAGTATGGCTTATCAGTCCGAATGGGTAAGGAAAAGCCATTTGTCAGAGGTCCTACTCCCCGTTTTAGCTGAGCGATACGGTTCCTCGAGGCGGCCGTGGACCTCCGCCGTAGCTTCCCCGTGGTTCCACCGATGAAGACATCGTCACTAGACGGGTCTAACATCCAATAGTTCCCCTTGCCCGGGTCGTCATAATGCCGAGGTACCTTGACAAAACACTTGTTGAGGCTGAGGTTGTGACGGATGGAGTTCTGCCAGCCCTGCTTATTCTCCCTATAGTAAGGGAAATTGGTCATGATGTACTCGTAAATGCCGTTCAACGTCAGCCGTTTCTCTGGGCTGGATCTAATGGCCATCATTATAAGAGCGTTGTAACTGAAAGGCGGCTTTTCTCCGAATTTGTTCTTTGGCGTGGAGTTCTTTTCACCTTCCTTCGTTTCTGATTTTGCCTTGTCGTCGTTTTTTCCATCCTTATCCTGTGCCTCCTCCTCTTCCACTACAATGTCTTTCATTTTCTCGGCGCTGTTTTCTCTGTCATCGCCGGGGTCCAGGTCTGCTTTACGGTCAATTTTGTCTTCCTTGACCTCTTGACTGACCGAGGTTGGCGGGGGCGTTACGGCCTGTGGTTCAGTAGGTTCTCGTTTCCCCAGCATAATGTGGTCTATAGAGAAAGGTTTCTTGGCCGACCGTATTTCCTCTGCCGTCTCAGCTCGCATCTGCATGCACTCCAACTTAACCATTTTTGGGTGGTTTGTGGTCGAATAAACTCTTGCCACTCAAACCAGAACGGGAAACCTTAATCCAGCAGAGGGATGTCACACTAGCCGCCTGACAAATTGGTAAACAACCGGTATCAACTTCTGTAAGCCATCCGCTGAGTACTAAGGCCAGGCTTCGCAACCATCGGACAAGTGGCGATCAGGGTGTTGTGAGTTTCTTTTCATTTAAAAACTCCGGGAGAAACATCAAGCTTCACAGCTGTGCTTGTTGGATACAGTGCGATGCATACGATGCCTGCTTGTTCTCGCAGTGAAAGTTGCAATTAGTGTGCGCAATCCACATTGTGCATGTGCGTGCGCGCGCTAGATCACTGATCTTGCCTTGTGTATTATGCGATTGTGTCACCTGTCAGCGCAACAAGAAGTTAAGTTTTGAGGGACCAATGGCAGTGAGCGGTGCGGCTAAGCGACGGCAACGCACTGCAGACCAATCAACGCCAGCGGCTTATTTGGGTCTTTGTTGCTGCACTCCAAGCTAATCGTTCAATAAACCCAATGGTACCGGTGAATGGAGTTTGTATATACATAGAGTTCGGGCCCGGATTAAAGCGATTGTGTTATGGAGAGGGTTTAGCGGTTGTCATCAGCACAGTTATAACAGAAACAAAACCAACCCTTATGACTAAACTTCCAAAAGGTTTATGCCCTCAGCTATCACAGTAGCAACCAAGGCAATATGATGAGGGTGGTCATATATACAAATAGAGTTGTTGCATTACTTATCCAACCTTCCAATCATGACTGACAAAACAGAGGTTACCAAAATTCTCATCACCATTCCGTTGAACACTGTGTGCCTTTTTACCGTGGAAGAAAAGAAGGTACACAAATAACTATTATATTGTTACTGAAGGACAGAGGGTATATTATTTACTTGCCTTTGTTTCCGTGATGTGACTATGCTTGATATGTTGTTTTAGAGCTGCCTTTTTTTTGGGGGGGGGGTTTCTACAGATTTCCAGATGTATTTTTCATAACAAAAATGACAGGCGTTGATCAGTGTCTCGTCTATACGCAGATTTGCGAAACGGTCCAGTTTTCACTTTCCAATACCGTTCTCAAAAAATGACCTATCCACCATTCTTCAAACCACGATGACCCCATGGGAATTAGGTTGCCGAGGGCCAACCCTCAATCGCCTGTGCGACACAGGGTGAGAATGGTTCCATCCCAAACTGACGCCCCACAAGTGCCCCGGTATACGGTTCGTACGAGGAAATCCTCACAGCGAGTTTCTCGAGTTGACATAATATACCGCTAATCTTCACGGTGGACCAAACTCGTGCAACGGGAATAACACAGATAATAGTTCTGGTCAAAGAAACCATTGTTCTTTCTGGCTGGAGGTATCCACCCAAGAATAATAGATGCTGTAAAACCCTGGTCCATGGTGAGTCCAAAGGGCCTTTCGCACTGTCAAAAATCTCCGTTCGCGACCCGGCCTGACGCGGAGAATCTAACACGACGGGGTCTATTGGGTCCAGCGCTCTGCGGGTAAAATCCAAGCCTGGTCGGGACCAGGGTTGAGAGGCTCTACCCAGGTAGAAAAAGCTAAATCTACTGCCGAAACGTGCAAAGCTTTAAAAATTTGAACGGTATTCCTTGCCGACCTGATTTCGTTGGCACGCGGTACCGCTCATCTCACAATGCACCCGTGTTAATAGGCGAGACGATAGCGTGAAAAGGGAATATAAGTACTATCTTCCTCATAATTTAAGTGAAGGCAATTGCAACAATTACTGTCTGCCAAGTTGTTCATACATACTATTTTTATATGCAGTGTGTAATGATACTGACAGTGCTTATTTGGAGAAAGTTGAATGAAGTGCAAATGTTGATATTTATTTGTTTGTTTGTTGGGTTGCTAGGGTGTTTGTGGGGTGTTGGGTGTTTGTTTGTTTGTTTGTTTGTTTTTGACAATTTCCACGGATATCTCACATATAGGACATCAACAACAAAATGCAAATTCTAAAACGTTATTTCCATTAAACGAGTCATTACTGGGGATTGTCTCCCTAAAAATGATCACAGTATACAGACCGAAACGAACTCTGGGTCTTAATTCCACACTTCTCTCTCAGAGATTAACTCGGTTCAGAAGACGAAGGCTAGGCCTATGTGAAATGTTCTTTCAACTTTTATTGTTGTAACATATACCACCGTTAGTAATCTTCACGTAACCATACCAGTAGTAACCAAACTTTGAAACACTCGGGCCCTTAGTTAGCCGTCCAGATAAAAAGAAAACCTAATTAAACAAAACATTTAATTATATAAGACATTTTTATATCATTATTTCCTTACCGCTGACACTTCTCTGAAACATGACCTCTCATCCTCAAGACTAAATGCCTGACAATTAATATGCGTTTATAACGGTTCTTTCTATTGTTTCTAGCACTGCCATAGGACAAGATCGGTAAACATATTTTATTTTTCCCCCGAATACTGTATACTTTAAGGTCATGCTCCGCCACTTAATACTGTTTTGGTGGTTTCTCTGTTGTCAAATTCGTGTCAAATGTCACTTTAGGCAATCGCTACATAAATCCCCAAAAGACAACAATTTGAGGTCTGATAGCTTACAACGCAATAAGAAGACAAAGGATTAAGCAAACAGTGAAAGTTGCCAACGCGCCATAGACCTTATGTGTTGCAGTACATCAGAGGGTGTCCTAGTTGGTTTACTCATCCCTGTCGTAGCGATACAAAACCATTACCCTCTGGCTCCGCCCATGAAGGTAGAGGTTCATGCAATCAATTTTTCTTAGGAACCTATTTGTGCAACTATCTTCTCATCTTAAATGTATGAAAACTATTTGACGTCTCTTTTTGGTTAATTTGATTGAAAAGTGCACTTTTTTATACATTAAACATTTTCCGTGCTTTTCCGGACAACTGGGGGCGCTGTTGCTGTTATGTCATTTCAGGAAAACACTGTTCAGTTAGGGGTTTTGTGTTCAAATTGTGAACCCAAAATTGAAAACATTTGTGAGAAAAGTTTGAGTATTGGCTTACTGACATGTACTGACACAACAACAAATCACAAACGAAAAGAACATTTACAACAGCAAAAAAAACAAAAATGTTGGTGCTGAAATAACAGACTGTAACATTGAGGTTTCTGCCTGAAATAACATCTCACTTTTGCTCCTTAATATGGAAATTTGCATTGGCAAACACCAAAAAGGCCAAAAAATCCCCTTGACATTGACAAACCAAAAATTGAAAATAAGGTTAAATGGACACAGAGGTAAGTTTCCAAGGATTGCATTAAAATAAATCCATTGCATTGCCTTTAACGCATACGGTCCAATAGCGGATCTATAGCGGGGGGGGGGGGGGGGGGGGGGGGTTGAGGGGTTGAAACCCCACCTTTCAGCCGCTGATTAATATTAAAATGGGGCCAAATACTAAATGGAATGCTAACGTTGCTAAATTTATTGTTGAATTGCCTTAGAATACAGGAGATATCATCGTAGATTCAAACATTTTTTTTTGGGGGGGGATGCCCCCGGACCCACTAGCTGGGCGTGCCTCTCCCCCCCCCTTTATATCATCCCCCCCCCCCCCGTTTCCTGAAAGCTAGATCCGCCCCTGCGGTCTATTTTTTACAACAATATGTAGATATGTGACGATGGTAATGACAGCTACAGCACTGGGGTTTGTACAGAGCTTTTTCTAAAAACCCAGTGGTGCTGCTATAATTCAACCATTAATGGTGTGGAACGTGGGAGGGCCAACAAAGAAATTCCACACTTTTTACAGAAACCAGATTGCCCTGGCTGTGACAGGAGAGAAGAGTTTTGGTGAAGCCGGTGGTTTATTTGGCTTGAAGTGAAGTGAAACTCTATCTTGGGACTGGGCCCACAATTTGCCAACATTCACATCAACAACATGGGCCGTGTACGTGCCGACCTGCACCTCTCTATCAAACGGCTCTCCGTGGTAGCACTCGGCAGGAAACTGGCCCACGGAACTCCTAAGTCCTCTTGCCGGTCCCTTGGTAATTTCTTGAGATGTTTCAAGGGTATTTTGTCTCCTGATCGCGAAGTCAGTCAGTCTGTCTGTCACCTCGGTGATGGGTTTTCACCGCTAGGGGGTGGGGACGCTGTGTTGGTGGTCAGTGAACCCCCGTTGATGAATGGGTGAGCTTTTAAGTCCCGAAAACAAAAGTCCAACTGATCAACTTTTGTGTTTTAAAGAGACTTTCGTCTTGAATTTTCTATCGAAGGAAACAGAACCATATTCAAGACTCTTGTCTCGTTTGGCAAGTATAACTGATTTAAACAGTAAGCTAAAATGTACTCAATCACACATAAGGTCCAAACAAATGAACAGCTGGGATAACTGTATATAATTCACTTTTGTGAATGTGAGCTCCAAAAGTCGCTGTGAGATAAAGATGAGAGTTTATTGAAAGGGAACGTCGCGTCGTGAGACAAGAGTTGACAAGGTAATAACAAAGGCTCGAAGAAATTAGGGCAGTCAACTAAGGCAGAATCTTCGAGCGTTTCTTCTTCCCATTCAGCTTATGGAGAACCCCTCCACAGGAACAATGTTTCTTTTGGGTAATCCTTCGGGAGCTGAATGGTATTTTGTCTTTGTGTTTTTGTATCTTAACTTCTTTTTATGTATTTTTTGTAACATTGGTCATTCTGTGTTCATGTATTTGTTGATGTTTTCCGAGAAATAATATATTAAAATAGTATATTCTGCTAAAACTAGAGCTTTCAGGCATTGCAGCTTTGGATATAATCTCCTCCTCTCTAAAAGGGCCGATGCAATGTATTTTTTTAATGCAATCCTTGAAAATACATCTTTGTGTCCCATTTAACCTGATTTTTAACTTTCGTTTTGCCATTTTCGAGGGTATTTTGGTGCATGCCTTTTCAGGCTGTTTTTATGCTTATGCGAATTTCCATATTCCTTAGCAAAACTGTGATGTCATTCCGGGCAGAAACCTCAATGTTACAGCTATTTCAGCATAAAAAGATGCTAGAATTTGGCGGTTGTAAATTTTCTTTTCTTTGGCGATTCGTTGTTGTGTCAGTACATGGCAGTAAGCCATTGAGCAAACCTTTCTCACAAATGTTTTCAATGAACAAATTTGGGGTTCACCATTTTTTGAACAGAAAACCCCTAAACTGAACAGTGTATCTGACTATTCCTGATGAATCTTAGGTCAGGCAGCCTCCGTGGCTAAAAATAAACATGACGACATTGATGGCCCTTCTTCAAAGCTCGGCTTCGTTTCCGATTTCGCTTTATCACTTTTAGCTTTATGTTCGATCTGATCAAATTTTTAAGTAAATCACTTGCTTCGTAATATCATACAGTTATGATAATACAGTTT